AAGTTTCTGCTATAAATACTTTAATTAATATCGTGATATCGATGTGTTCAGAAAAATTCATTATGTAATTGTTTAATATATCCAATTTTGACGATAAAATGATCAGCCAAATGAAATTAAGTATCTTACAAATAAAGAATTGAATCTGCATAGTTTCGAATTATTTACTTTAAAAATAAATATTATTAGACAGATTCTAATCAAATATATTCGAATTTTTTATAAGACTTTACTACTAAACATTTTATACTTCTCTACATCAAACTGTTTATATTATATAATATAATAACAACGAATATTAGCTTGACTGTAGAAATTAAATATAATAAAAATATTATTAAAAATATAAAATGAAAATTAAAAACTTTACACACAAATTTTTTTACATTAACATTTTTATTCTTAAAGTTTGAATACTACTTGTAAGATTAAAATTTATATGATTGAAATTATTTATATGTACATGTTTCGAATTCTGCACTGATTCCAAAATGTGAGAATAACAGAATCGATTGTTTCATAAGAACATTCTATGAAATATTATTTCTTATGAATATTACTTGTATTTTTTAGAAAATGAAACTTGATTATTATGGATTTGATCCCATAAACTTGAAAAAAATTGTTTTTTGTAAGATACACATGTAACATTATGTTGCAATATTTCTTCCACGAATTTGTTGTCACTGTGTATATTCAACATGAGACAATGCAGAGTCACTTGGGCCAAGTGGATATAAGCTTATAAATGCAGATAGTCAAATTTGTTAAAAATGTATTTTACAAAATTCTGCAATTTTATTGACAGAATACCAATAAAAATAGAACAGAATTTGCTAATAAAATATAATAAATTGATTGCAGAAATCTATCATTTCATAACTATTGAATAATATATTGAAATATATTTAAATAATATATATTTCATTTAAATAATTACAAAATGATAGATCATGTTCTATTTGTTAGTAGAGTATGACGTGCAGATAGTTAATATCTATTTGCCATTTTCTGCTTGAATTTTGTTTTCTAGAATAATATCCATACAGTAACATTATATGCTTCTCACACACTTGTAATACTTTGCGATAAAACTCCTCATATATTTTAAATCTTTTCGAACTTTCTTACTTATTTTTTAATATAATATGTATTATTTCTTGCATATAATCATCATGTATCTTCAAATTCAACATATTGCTTTATTTTTGTCATATAGAAAAACAGATTCTATTTCCAAAGTCCTTGTAATTCGTAAATAACAATGTTTATTGATTTTTATGTATAAAGTTATATTTACAATATACATTGCTAGAAAAATCTTATTCTAAAAAAATTATACTCTAATAGTAAGTATAGACCGTTGCATTCCACAACTTTAGTGCTTTATACAATGCATATTCTTTTTTGTACCTGAGGTCAACCACTTTCCATATCATACTCTTTTCTTATATACCGTCACATCGTTTCGCATCTCGATATAACATCTTTAAATTAGATTACATTGGTCAAATATTCTAGCATCGAGACTAAACACATTAGATATAAACATTTTCTTTTATTCGCAGAATAAAAATGTTTTTCTTTTCTCTAACATGATATCCGTCAATTTATCATCGAAAAAATTGTAGCTATTAGGCAGGTGTTGAGAAAATATTTGGAATGCAAACGCTTCATGTATGTATTAAACTAAGATATGCGAAGCGATGTTGTAAGTAGAGTAGATTATATGAAATTATATTAAACACATTTTTATACAAAATTAGAAATACCGAATTGATTTGCTTTCCACATTATGCATTCTATTGAAATTTAACCAAATTTGTTTACGTGGATGGTCGATATAATTTTAATATTAATCATAACTCTAGAAAAATTTGTTATATATAAGTTTCATGTTTGATTCATATAACAACTTCAAAGATATTTTATATTTCTCATCTCGATGCCTAGCAACTGTAACAACTCGTTTCTATAGAGACATAATTCATGAAATATGTATAAAATTCTAAATAGCTTATAAACAACAACATTATAATCTTTATGCTATACTCGGCGCATCTTTTATAGCTATTTAATAATTTATATTGTACAAAAGAAATGACAAATGCCAAATGAAAAATATCATATGCTACAGAACATTTGATAATCAACTTTCTTATCTAAAGGGTATTATGAATAATTGTATTTTATATTTGGTACGTGAGAAATAACAATTATTTATATCATTTTTATGCAAAAAATTAATTTACATATACACTTATTACAAAGAAGAAATAAGATTTACTTATGTGTATATTTATATTTTTTCCAAATTCTTTTATATGTTGTACAGAATTTTAGATATGTATAGAATGGAATCAATTTTCAACTTTACTAATAAATATCAAGATTTAATGTTTTTTTAAATGAATATTTTAAAGTCATATTCTAATAATTAATTTTTCAGACATTTGAAGAATAGTTATATTCTATTAAGAATAAGTTATTTAGTATCATGAGTGACATCAAATTTAGATGAAAAGCTTAGAAAAGTAAAATGTATTTATCTATTTGGAAGGTCATTTACATTCGATATATAATATGATACTTAATCTTATAATTAGAATTATTCATTTTTAAATTTAAGTAGAAAAAAAATGAACAGATAAATTGACGTTAATTAAGATAAATAAAAAATGTTTAATTTAAATTATACATTGTGAAAACTGAATATTTTAAATTATTATAAAATAGCAAAATTATTTGTTAGTTTTTCAAAATTTAGAAACTATTTTAGCTGTTTATAACATATTTGACATATTATCTATCTGTGATCCATCAAATAAATTATGTTTATTATGTTATTATGTTATTAATAAAATATATCCATTTAGCAAATTTTCTTTCTCTCTCTCTCTCTCTATCTATTCGCTTCATGAAACTCGGACAGGTTAGATCTTTATTAGTCCACCTTTTTGATAGTATATAATGAATGCATAAAATTTCAATATCAAGCAACTCATATTAAAAATTTTTTTTTTTTTTCATAAAATAGAAAATCATTTGAGTTGTAAAATATGTTATCTTGTATGTATTTGAATTGCCAAAAATATATGTACAGATAAACCTGATACATTATGTGGAAAGCAAAATAATTTATCCATCCACGATTTTGTATTCTGTGTGACCATTCATTCTCAAATTTATTAAATTTATTCAATTTATATCTTTTTTTTATATTTGCACATACTAAAAATAGAATTAACGTTCTTAAAATATAAATTTAAGAACATTTTGGAACGTTAACGTTTTGTAACTATATAAAAAACTTTCAGTTCTTTTATATTCATTATCAGACTGTTAACGAAAATTAATGAAAATGAAAATTATTAATTTTGTATCGACAAAACTGAAATATAAAAAGAGGATTTTGAATTATTTAATAATATATTGTAAAAAGTATAACACTACAGTCTTTTTATATAAAAAGAAATCCGATTTGCAAATTGTGAAACCGAACACGAATTATTTATATCTGTACAAAATTACTTAGATGCTATTTGTGCTGTGATGTTCTGGAGTTGTTGTTTATATATTTCCGCTTCTTTCTCTTTTTCTTGTAACTGCTTACGGTATTCAGCGGCTAGTCTTCGAGCTTCTGCTAATTGTCTATTTAAGAGTGCTATGTCCGTTACTGGTTCGTTGTTATCTTCTTCAGTAATTTCTTCTATATCATCTAATAAAATTGTTGGTTCAGTAATCTTCGTTGGAGAACTCGCAATTTTCTGAAATGCAAAAATGTATGCTTGTATATATCTGTCTATCTATTGTTATTTTATTTGTATATGAAATATATAAATAACCTTACTTCCTTTATTGAATTGGAATTCTTCATCTCAGTGACAGTAGATGTCGTTGAGGTATTAGAAACTGTTGTAACAAATAATTTTGCTGCTTTGTTATCTATAGTAGATCTTTTTAAAATATTTGGACTTCGCGATGTGGTGATAGATGTGTTAGAATTCGTATTCAAGATTTTTGATTGTATTTGATCCGTTCTAATTGCTATAACTTTTCTCGGTGATCCTTTCTTCGAAGCAACCTGAAGACGTTTAAGTGGCGAGTTTTTCGTTAAATTTAGAGCTATTTTCCCAGCTTCTGTAATCATAAATCATTCATTAATAGCTAATAATATTAAGTTTTCTTTTTAAATTTTATACAGAAAAGCAAACCTGTTAAAACTACTGTTCTCCCACTTTCCACCGCTTTCTCTACAATGGACGAGTCATCATCCACAGGTATCATCCTAATTCCATGTGCTTCTAATAACCTAAATTGTTTGCCTATCGATATAATATCTTTATGTTTCTTACTATTCATAATATTATTTGCGTTAATTATTTCCACATCTTCAAATTCTTTCTCCTGTTCACCATCTGTGTTGTTTGGTGATATAGAAATTTGTTGAAAAACCGATTTTTGTTTTTTCTCAATGTGCGCTACAAATTATAAATGATTACATAAAATTTTGAATACAAAAGTAAATAAAAAAATATTTATATAAAGAAATAACATTGACATTTACCTTGAGAAGCTTTACGTTTACGTTGCGGTTGTTGCATTATCTCAAACTTCTCCGTTTCCTGTATTATCGAACTTTTGCTATCAGCCTCTAATTGCACTAAATTATTTGTAGCTACTTCTAATTCGGTAGAATTTGCCTGATTCTGTTGATGAGCTTGAATACCTATCAATACTCTTTCTTGCTGTAGTATGTCTACTAAATCTAGCCTATCATGTTCTAGTGCAAGACTGATTGGAGTCTTTTCAAATTTGCTAGTTGCATTTATATCAGCTCCATGATCTAGTAAAATATGCATTACATCCATATGTTCACGTTCTACCGCCCAATGCAGCGGAGTCATCTTTAGCTAAAATAATTGTTTAAATTAGTTGTGTTCTACAAAAAGCCAATAAGAATCCATATTTTTATATTATACCATATCTCTACTATCGACATCTGCACCATAGTTAAGCAGCAATTGCACCATCTGATCATGGCCTTCATATGCTGCCATGTGTAATGGTGTTCTATCAACTTTTGTTCTAGCATCCCTGGATATTCCTGCTCTAAGTAAAACTTCAGCAGTTTCTATGTGATTGTTTTGCGCAGCGAGATGGAGCGCACTTGTACCAAGCTAGACGATAAATATACATTGTGCTTACTTTTGCGAGTAAAATGTACAAAGCAACAAAATTCTGAAACACATACCCAGTCTGTGGTGAATGGTGCGCCTCTACACATGAGCTCACGGACAGCTTCGGTGTCACCATTTTTTGCACTGTGTAGAAGTTGCTTTCCAAGTTCCACCATAGTTGAGGCATCTTGTGGTCTTGGATGAGTAGAAACATCGCAAGCCAGAAGTTCAACCTAATGATAATTGTAGACAATCATTAAGCATTAAGAATCGATAGGAGAAAGTAAGAATCGATAGGTGAAAGCCTTTATCAAGAAATTCTTTTTCATAACATTTTATAGTCAAAATACTGAGAGAATTATATGTAATTACAGTATTTATGATCAGATTAATTATCTATAGGCTGCTACTTTTGTGATTTTTGTTTTAAAGCAAGAATAATTTGTTCGATATATAATTGCCATTGCACTATAGAGTATACTATAAAATACAGACTTTTATTTATTGTAAATTTTTAAGAATCAAAATCCAACTCTGTAGCAATCTTCGTAGCTTTATAACAAATACATAGAAAAAAGTCTCATGACACAATATTAATTCTACGAGATGAAATATGAATTCAAACAATCATGTATCTGCATATATAATTATCTATAAATAAGAAATAGATAATTTTATTGGAATTGGCCTATCACTCCCACTGACTCTTAACAACAATCTTATACGAGATCAGGCAACATACTCTGCACGATTCTAACATAAAAGGGGGATACGTACTGGTATGAGAGCTTCTGTATCCAGACTCTCAATATCATTTGTACATATGCTTTCTTGCACGGATTGCATTCTTGAATGTCCAGCTCAGTCCCCTTCGTACAAACAGGCTCTAAAATCAAATTATCCATAACTATTGAGATTGCAGATTTTTTTCAATCGGTTGGAGTCAGCGACTAATTTTCGGCCGTTAATCGCTGCCTTATTCGACCTTGGGCCAGCAGAATCGGAAAGTGGGCCGTAAAAATACCCAATGGGTTCACCAATGAGGAAACACGTGCGGCGAGGCGCGTTTCGATTCGCATCCCGCGTCATGTCGCGTGCGTACGGTATGTTTATTTCTCGTAATCTTCGCATCGCTACAGGATGTTTTTATTTCGCAGTCTCGGGGTCGCGTGGAACTTCCTGTTCCTGTTTGGCATTGAACGGAAGTCCATGCCATAAGCCCTGCGTTACGAGCCCGAAAAAAAACTAGCCAACCACAACGATTTCGTAGCGAGACGTTGTACTTACGACCAGCGCATTATTCTCGCCTTTCTCGCGATTTTTCCGACGGCCCACCGACGAGCGCGCAACGTCCGCTGGAATTCTTCTTCGTCGCAGCTTCGCGATTTACGGTCACGGTAAAGTTTCGTGAAAATGGCGGCGCATTGGCGCCATTCCTAGCGCCGTCCGGCTCAGGTGGTAAAAACGTTTCCCATGTGTGCAACGATGTCACGAAGATTACTTCCATGAAATCCCTTCCCCCTCTCTAAACGTTTCTTTTCCCACGTTGTGACCAGATATTATGAGAAAATCAGACTGGCTCCTATGTCTGATAAACGCGACCGTCGACATCCAATAGAATGATCCATTTTCTAGGGACAAAACTATTGTTAGAATCCCTAAAAAATGAATGCTTCTATTGGATATTAAATGTTGTGTCTATAAAATTTAATTTCTAGATTTAATAATTTATACATTTAAAATCATTTTCAAATCAATTTTTCTATGCCGAGACACATTATTTCTTTATTAAATTTTTTTATTTTCATTATTTCCTTATTTAGCTAGAATGCGAACAAAGTCATCTCTTGTAATTTTATTCTTAAAATTTTATAATAAATATATAAATTTATAATAAAATAAGTACGAATTTGTATCTTAATTTTATTCTGATCCATAACGTTTGTTATTTATATATAATTATATATAATGATATTTATTTCAATAAAATATCATTCTTCTCGAAATAATTCAATCTAAACTTTTCTGCGCACTAGCGCCAACTAAGAAAATGAGTGTAAATTTTGTAGTCACATAGTCACTTTTCTGCATTATCGGTACTATTTTTGGTGCGTGTCCATACTAAATTTACATAAAATATTAATAAAATATTAATAAAATATTAATATTAATACATGTAATTATTAATGTATTTATCTATTTTTTAAAAAAGGACTCGATATGTGAATATATGAAATTTCCGATATAAAACATTTTATAGTACCAAAATTATATAGTTATATATAGTTATATATAATTAAATATAATAAGATATAATTATAAGGTGTTATATATAAAATATGTGTCTATATATAAAAATATATAATTATATATAAAAAATTTTGTGGAAACTGGAAATTGTTGTCATTCTTTATCATATCTGATTGATTCTCTTGCTCTTCTTACTTCATGAGTATATAACTGTCATCATAGAGAGATTGAGGATTGAGCATTATTTTGATAGGTTATAATGTATGCTGTATCATCTCGGATAAGAAGATTATAAGTTGTGTGAAAATATTTTATCTCGTAATTTCTTCGGATATATTTTGCGATTAAATATTGGAGATATACTAAGTAAGTAATTTTCTTTATATCACAGTTGCTTAATACGAAGTTGCTTAATACGAAATGAATATGTAAAAAATTGATAGAATTTTTTTAAATTTTATATTTTTATACAAGAACATATATAATTGTATATGTTTTTTACATACATATATACGTTTATGTATACATATGTTTTTATGTGAAAAAAATTTTTACCGGATATTTAATTAAAAAATAATATCAAAAAAAAGTAGTACGCAGCATACTATATAAATGCAGATTTCCTTTGTGTATAATAAAATATTGCTATAAAATATTTTCATAACATAAAAAATGTAATGCTTTATATAATATTCATTTCTAATTTAAAAATATCAAATTTTGTATATTGTATTTTATATAATAATTTTTATTGTAATGTTTTTTTATTTAGATAAATTTTTGCACGTAAGAATCTATAAGAAATTTAGAATTTAATAGTTTTTGATCAATTAATTTTTCGATCAATTAATTTTTTTTATTGAATCGTAAAGTATTATATTAACGTATATATCATACAATATTCATTTATCACATTTTATAGCATTCATTTGGCTTATACGCGAAATGTCCAATTTTTGATAAATAAAAACTTTTTAAATAGATTGTCATTATGCAGGAATTTTTGGTATTTATTAAGAGTTCAACATACAAAAATGTATTTAAACATTTTTGGGAAAAATCTTCAATTTATTTGTGTACCTAATAAAAATGTGTAAAAAATTAAAATTAATTTTTGGTTTACAAAATTTCAACAATAGCTTAGCGATGTCTACTTGTTCAATACAATGCATCGATATGCTTTAATCAAGCGAGTACATCCAGAGTCCGGTATTTCCATTTGATTATCAAAGCTCAATTCGCTCTACGCATTCTGCCAAACACTGATAAACGGAGTTTCTCATACACGCGTTCGAAGAGATTGCCCGAGCAGTATCTAATCTAGTGAGCCATCCAAAATACCTAAGGTAACATATAATGATAAGAAATATTAAAAACTCATTTATATTCTTATCGCCCCAGGATAATAATGCATTTTTTGCGATAAGACATTCTCGAAGTTATCGTTTCAATTTAAATAATAATTCCATTATAATAATGATCATTATAATAATCAGTAATAATAATTCCATTAATCTTAAGTTGAAGAATTATAACAATTTCTGTTTTCATTTCAGTTAATCAGATTTGTTTCAAAAGATTTACTTTAGCATGTATCTTACAATATCAGAAAGAAAATTTTAAAAAGTAGAAGAAAGTGAAAGGATAATATTAATTTTTATCATTTAACACAATTTTGTCAAAATAATAAATAATATTTAATACAAATTATACTACAATTTGTAATAAAACATCTAATCTGATATCAAAGACTGAAACAAGACTTCAAAATATCCAATTAATAAATAAAAAAAAAAACAATAGTGAAAAATAATACAAAATAATTTATTTTTACTTTTACAAAATTTCACAAAATTGTTTTGAATAATATCCGCAAAGAATTTTTTTTATCTAGCTTAATCTATACGCTTGTCGTCGATCTTTAATTTTGTGTATTTGCTGAGGAAAATTCCAATATTCTATTCCAAATGTACGTTTATCGTACTTAACAGAAAAGCTATCTGATCATCGGATAGCTTAATTAATTGTTAACCGACCGGACAAATTTCTTTTTTAGCACTCCATTAACCGCACCGCGCGCGGCTTACTCCTTACTTATTACATCTTATTAGTGTCCACAATAGGTGATTTAAGCTTTAAGAAGTAAGAAATTGACCAATTATAATCGAATATGAAAAGAATAATCGACTATGATTGGTCAATTTCTTACGACTTAAAGATTAAATACTTATTGTGGGCCGACACTTACATCTTTCTTCTCGCATTCGTAACGCGTGACGACGCCTTTTCGAGGCGTCACGCGGCGAGGGGACTGTGTCACACAGAATTCTGCAGGATTTTACACTGCCCCGGGCAGTGTGTCCCGCGGGCAGCCTCATTTTCAGCGCATCTTATCGATGTACGCGAAAGCTGGGTCAGCGAGGCAATTGCATATTCACGGAGCGGAGGGCGCTATCACGTGCGTGCACCGCCACATCGCGTTACCCCATTCCTTATACCGTAATCTAAGGAGGTGGCTGGCCGCGCGATCGCGCCGGACGTAAGCTTGCATGCCTTCGTTTCGCGAAGGAGTGGGCTGGAGAGGAAGAACGTTGTAACCCCCTCGTGAATTTCTCAAGAGGGAAAAAAAAAATGCGCACGACGGCGCGTTTCGCGGTTTCCGCGACGCGCGCGACAACAACTCTCGCACTCGGGGACCGCTTTCACTTCGTACGTCCCTGTCGCCTTAAATTTTCGAACTTGCCCGGATTAAAACTTCCCTTTCTCTCCTCGTTCTTTCCTCGCCCGTTTCCTCTTCCGCGGGGTGCGGCTACGGTGGACTGTCCTATAAAAATAAAGCTGCCTAGGAGCGCGCATATGGCGCATAACAGCGGCAGCAAAGATCGATCAATTTCTGTGTTTATGCCTTATTTAAGACGCGGACGAGCTGAAAAATCGTTTCGAAAGGCATACCGACGATTTTTCATCCTCGCTAAGTGATTGCTTTATGAAAAAAGAACGTAGCACACGGTTGAATCGAGGAATGATAACTTTTGCTTTCTTGTAATTCATAAAAGTAGCTTTTCAATCGAAGCGTTTTTCATTCTTTGGATTTTCTTTGGATAGAAGGATAGAATGGGAATTTTTACTTGCTAGAAATATATATATATATATATATATATATATATATATATATGTATATATATGTATATATCCTGCAGATTAAATATATATACAGGATGTTCTATTTTAAATGACGATTTCAAATATCTCTTGAACATTTTAAAGAAAAATGTTTCAGACCAATGTTTTGTAACTTCGAGGGAGACATGAAAGAGTGTTATTGGTTTGATATCTCTTAACTTTTTTGACAACTATCTTAACACTTTTATGCACAGAATAATAAGATGAATCAGTTGACGTAAAGAAAATACATAATTGATTTTCAAAAAGAATACGTAGTTGTACATTGCAAATCTCATAATTGTTTAAAATAACAACTATATATCTACAAGATATTTGATATTTTACGTCAATTTGTATATCAAATTCAAACTTTATAACAGAAAATATTTAATAAAAAATACTTTATTATAATGATTTAAAAAACTCTCGAGAAAAATTACAAGAAGTACAATAAAAAAATGGGGGTTTTCATTTAATAAATTGAAGATGATCTTCATGTCATTTTCAAACGACTATCCAAGATTAAACTAATGACACCCTTTTATGTTCCCTTCGAAGTCACAAAACTTTTATCTGAAACATTTTTCTCTAAAATGCACTGTTCAAGAGATATTTGAGATCGTCATTTAAAGTGAGACACCTCGCATATATTTCAATTATACACAAATAAGTATAAAATATAGTTATATCTTATATTTATTTGGGTTCGCTATGCGTTATGTATAATCTTTTTATT